TCTTTCCGATTTTAAGTTTGAGTTGAATCAGAGATCAACTCTTGCCAGCTACGCTGGCAATTATTATTTGTCTGGCATTTTCTTGGATAGCAAGGTTGCTGTCCAGTGAGACCAGATCAGCCAAAAGTGAAAAGATGAAGCAACCATTCTAGCATTGGGCGGCGTTCTCCCATCTCTTTTTTCGGACTGACTTTGTGTACTATACACCCTTGGGTGCTCTGTGTTTCTATTTTAGACTTCTCTCCTCTTTGTCTTATACTCTACTTGGTTGTTATGTGGGATTCCTTTCTGGATACGAAGATCTGACCTTCACTTTTTGATTTCATGTACAATATCTTTTAGTCATATGCTATTATTCTATCCAGGATTCAATTTAATCTTGACACAATATCTTTTTCTACTCAAACAGCATCATAATAAACAGGAGAAGACTTGGGTAACTGCCGCCTCTAACCAGATCCATTTTCGAGACATCTAATCGTTGAATATGGGACAAAAAGGAAACCTTATATCACACATCCCAAGTATATCGCAATATGCACGAAAAAAAAAGCAGTCACTCGTGAGTACAAAAGAAAACACCAAACAGAAAAGAAACAACGAGAATGCACTTAATCACGGGCGATCATGTGCTCTCTGGCAGGACCAGTACCGATCCACTTGATAGGAACACCGCCAATCTCACGCTCAATGAACTCGATGTAAGCACGAGCATTAGGAGGCAGATCCTCATAACGCTGGATACCCATGGTGTTGGACTTCCATCCAGGCAGAGTAACATACTCCACTTGGATTTTCTCAACAACATTAGGATCCGCAGGGAAAGTACCAGTAGTACGCTTTCCATCCGGCAGGATATAAGCAACACCAACCTTGATCTCATCAAAGTCATCAAGGATATCGAGCTTAGTCAAGTTCAGCGCGGTGTAGTGGTTAATAGCGTGAGAGTAGCGGCACAGGACAAGATCCAACCAGCCACAGCGACGACGACGGCCAGTAGTCACTCCGAACTCACGTCCAACCTGCTGCAGCTTCTCGCCGTCTTCGTTGAGCTGCTCGCTGGGGAAAGGTCCAGAGCCAACACGTGTCGTGTAAGCCTTGACCACTCCGATCACGGACTTGATGCTGGCGGGGTTCAGGGCAAGCGCTTGCACGGCTCCGCCCAGACCGGTTGATGACGAGGTCACGTAAGGGTATGTGCCGTGGTCGAGGTCGAGCATGAGGGCGTTGGCTCCTTCGACCAGTGTGTTGGGGGAGTTCTTGTGCTCCTGCAGGAACTCGAGCTGGTCGACGATGTGGGGCTTCAGGAGGTTGCGGTATTCCTAGAGATTGTTAGTGATGTGGTTTTGAGGTGGATGAACAAGACTAAGATTTGTTCATTTCTGCCGTCGCGTTATGGGGCTTGATGGGGGTTTTTTTTTTTTTTTTTGAAAGAAATCCCGGATTTCATGCGTACCTTGAACCGCGCAATCTCCTCCTCGACATCGTATGCCAGATCTCCGAACCGTGTGCGGTATGAGGTGTCCAAAGTGCGCAGCTTGCGCTCGAAGGTGGCCTCATCCAGGATCTCGCCAACGCGGACACCGCGGCGTGCGGCCTTGTCGCTGTAGCAGGGACCGATACCCTTACCGGTGGTGCCGACCTTGCGGCCACCGAGACCCTTCTCCTCGAGACCGTCGACGACGGAGTGCAGGTCGAAGCAGACGTGTGCGCGGTCAGAGACGAAGATGCGCTGGGCGGCGCCCTTCAGGCCCTTGGCCTCAATAGCGGCCAGTTCCTTGAAGAAGCTGGGGACGTGGAAGACGGTACCGGCGCCGATCAGGTTGATACATTTGGGCGAGACGAGGCCGGAGGGAAGGATGTGGAAGTCGTAGGTGACGTCCTCGTGGACAATGGTGTGGCCGGCATCTGTATCCAATTGAAAATGGCCGGTTGGTCAGTCACTGTCTAGTTTTGGGGACGACCCGTTTGAAAACTTCAATAATCCGGGGTAGAAGGATTGTAAAGCGAGTTGAACGTACTGTGTCCACCGGCGGCACGGCAGCAAAGTGTCGCATCCTGCGACAACATGTCTGTGATCTTCCCCTTTCCTGTTCATTCGTTAGCATGTCCAATGTCTCGATCGGGTCTCGTTCTCGTTACCTTCATCTCCCCATTGACTTCCTAGAACGATTGAAACCATGATTGCACGCTTGACAAAAGTCACAAATTCCAACTTATGCACGATCAATTGCTTTGGATGGTGGGGTATGTTCGAAGGCAAAAGCGAATATGTCTGGAGCCGATAGCGGGGCCAAGATCAGGGTTGCCGGTGTGAGTTTTCTGGAGTTTACTGGGCAAATTCGACCAACAATGCGGATGCTAGGGATTTGTAGTTGGACGTGCAGTTTAACTATACTACATTGAGCTATTTTTTTTACAAAATTGACATTTTTCTCCCAGTGAGTCAGACCAATTTTCGGCGAACTCCTACTGTCACGGATCCGGCGGGGTGGCGGGGCTTGGTTGCAGCCTTGATGCCTTGGTGCCTTGGTGCCTTGGTGCTTTGACTTCTATTGGAGCCTCAGGCATCAAGGGTTAGGGCAAGGGCTTCAATATATCCGCGTGCTTTTCGCATTATACATTGTCGTACTGCATATTTTTGCCAGGATAACTTATTCGGGGTTGGTTCTCGATTCATAAGACACTTTCTATATATCGCTATGAGTACACAAAATAGACCGACCCTTGGCCTTGACATTATGATTCTATCCTCCCTTTCTTTCTCAGGTGCTACCTATGAGCATACATCTCTATCGTTTTCAGAACTTGGTCTTCAAAGACCATCCTACACATATGCCCCGAGCAAGAATGAATGCCATCGTGGCAGACAAATAGAGCACTCCACCAAAAACTATGAGGCCCCCATATTCGCCGTCACTCCTTTCCTGAATGGCCCCCGCAATTGGAATCCCTACCAACGTACCAATACTAACAATCGTGAATGTTGTCCCGTTCCGCTTCCCATAATCCTTGGTGGCGCACACCTGAGAGATGCATACTGGAGTCAAGCTGATGGCTGCACCACTCCAAAAGCCAAAAAGCACAGCATAACATATGATAGCTGCCAAGTTGTTGCCAGCTCTCAACCACAATACAAGTGTCAAGATTGAGCAAATCAAAGATGTCAACACCATCACATTAAAGCGACCCACTCGATCAGCTATTAGTCCCGGTAAAAACCTTCCCGGGATAGCACCAATATTCAAGAACGGAATCAGGAGATAAGACATGGTGTCTTCTATGCCAACATATGCTCCATAGGAAGCAATATAGGTGATTGGGATGAAGACAGCGAATTCAACCATAAAGATAGCCACGGTCGTAGATGCATACTTGATATCCTTCAGTGCACGGAAATCAACCGATGCGCCTGCTTTCTTGTTTGGAGGCAGTCTTGTCTTCAGCAAAACACAAGCCAAGATACACAATACCGCACATAGAAATGCAATAATACGTATTGCCCAGCCGAATCCAATTTTAGGAGCAGCAAAGATGATTATCAAAGGAAAAGCAACTCCTCCAATGCCACCTGCTGTGCACGCTACACCTGTTGCCCACCCGCGGCGGACATTGAACCAATGTCCCACAGCAGATACGGCTGGTGTGAAAAGCGTGCAGGCAGAGAGTCCCCCGAGGACACTGAAGGATAGGAAGATCTGGTAGTACTCTAATCTCATTAGTAACTGGTCGAACTTCAGGTGAACGATGACAGAAAAATACTTTCACATACCTTCACTAAAGCTGAAGCACACCAGGGACACGACCATACCTATAGATCCCGGGACTATCACATAATTTGGACCAAATGTGTCGAATATTGGCCCTATCTTCGATTAATATATGCAATCATATGAAATGGTAAGTACTTACCAGCCTGGGCTCCTGCAAGATATAGGAAGAAGCCGTATGCACCGAATATCCAACCGGTGCTCGACTCGGAATAGTCTCGGAGTTGATGTGTGCTTGTCCAGGCATGTAGAATACCAAGACTGTTTAATAGCCCCATCGAGGGGACCATCGCACACCATGCTCCCAGTACAACGGACCATGCTTGTAGACCTCCTTCTGGGTAATCGTTATCTTTCGGAGGTTCGAGACTATCGGGTGTAGGAGTGAGATCCAGTTTTTCTTGGATTGAAAGCATATCCACGAAACCGGTCTCTAACCTTTGGGGTAATAATGTCATGTTGAGTATAGAAAAGACAGCATTTATATCTACGATCTAAATTTTGGACAGACGGAGAGCCCTATATCACCCCAACCTATTTTACCTGATTCGAATTGATCCGTTGTATAGAGCGACCGGTCAAATCGGGCTTTGATTGGACCGTGTCGTTAAGCTTAGAAATCCTCGGCGAAATAAGACGCTGATTGGTTCAATCGTTATGATGTTCGGCGAAATCTCGAGACTATCCCACTATTTTCAGATCTAAGTACTCTTTTCTGTCGGTAATCATATGGGTTTTATCATTTATTTAACGGTGTAGGTTTGTTAGGCTGACACACGCCTTCTTGCGACATTTGGTAGGTAGAGATGTCCCAGCCGAATTCATGAGTTCACCGAAGGGTTCCGGTTCCTCGAACTATTCCAGGATTACAAACTAGATACATTCGCCTACTTTACATTTGCTCGCCGATCTCGCCTTACTTCTAGCTTGACTATTTTAGCTATGGAGTCACCTCTGAAAAAGCCTAAGCAACATCGAGATACTGGCCGTCCCTATCGATCTAAACGTCATCCACCATGCAACCAATGTCGCCGCAAAAAGCTTCGATGTGAAGCAGACGAAGGACAGAGCTGTCAACGTTGTCAATCAAATTCTTCACCCTGCAGCTTTACCTTTTCCCTTCATCCATCGTTCCTGCCTAATTTTGGATCCGTGTCAGATCACCAAGAGGTTGAACATGGAAATAGCGAGAAAGCGTCTCCGGTGACCGGTGTTGATCAATTCCAGACAATGGAAACACCCATAAATTTGGACTCGAATCCAATCAACGACCCAGCCGGTGATTTCCTTCTCCCGTTACAGCCAGGCTATCCCTTACCAGAGAGGCCAACGCCTCAGGCTATCCAAACACTGGATTATCTCAAAGGCGTCTCATCACAGCTCATCGGTGCATCTGGTGAATCAGATCCATGGCTATTGCGACATTGCAAATTTGATGAACATGGCTTTCTTCTTTTCCACCAGGTCCATTTCCGTAATGCTGGCGGCGTGCCGCGAGATGAGAAGATTCCTGTGCATTTCCTCGTTACGGGAGATGAGCTTTATGATGCGACCAAAGAGACGACGAGATATCCGAACATCGGATCTCGGAGAGATGAGCTTAATTCGTTGGTGCCTCTCGAGTGTGGGCAGAGATTGGTCTCACTGTACGTTGTTGTCGTTCATTTGCGTATATTCCATTGTATTTCGGTCGTTTGTCAACATTTGTTTTCTTTGTTGATCCACAGACGATCCTTCACGAAGCCATTGGCTGATTTATCGCAGCTTCTTGAGGTTCATCTTTCCAACTCTACCCATCATATCGCGGTCGAAATTTGGAATCACACCTTCACACCCAATCCCCGACACAACCATCCTACAAAGCACACCAATACATCTTCTAGCGGCCATCTACGCATTAGCCCAACCATTTACCAGATTTGACGAGTACCTAAGTATTATAAACGCATACACCACACCACCAACGGACAGATTATGGCGAATCACTTTCGAGATGATACTTGAAGAAATCCATACGCCACACTTAGCAACCCTACAGGCAGGACTCCTATATCTGCACAAGCAACACCCGGGAAGCCAAACTGCCGTCGCTGATAGCCCTTTCGTGTGGTCATTTGTCGGAATGCTAGTTGGTCTAGCAACCTCACTAGGCCTCCAGTTGGAGTGCCGACCAATGGGCCTGCCTGCATGGGAGCGCCGACTGCGCAGAAGACTTTGGTGGGCTCTGTACTCTGAGGACAAGTGGCGCAGTCTGCTGATGGGCCGTCCCCCGTATATTCGAAATGATGAATGGGATGTGACGGATCTCGACGACGATGACTTTCGCATCGACACGGAAGTATTTTCGCCGGACAATCAAGCTCCGGAAGCTCTTTGTGCACTCCAGTTCCAGGGCTTTGCACGTCTATCCTGTCTCGCCGATGAAGTTCAGCAACGCCTATTGTGAGCCCTCCCACAAAAGCACAAAATTTAGTATTAGCATACTAATTCAAGTGTCAGTTCCCTGCGCGCCGCCCAACGCCTATCATCTAACTTCCCTGAATCACTCGCAACCGCACGCTCTCTCTTGACCAAGCTAAAGGAATGGTACTCTCATCTCCCACCCAACCTCCATCATCAAAACAAACCCTTCCCCCAAAACAACCAATCGGACTGCCTCCATTTCACCTACATTCTGCTCGAAGTATTCATCTTCCGCGCCCTTCTCAGACCAATGGTCCGCTCCGCAGCTCCACCACGCCTCTTCGAGGAACCCCAAGATAGCCTGGAAATCATGGTAGACGACTACATTGCACATATAATTTCCGACGACGAAATCGACCCAGTCCCCGCAATAGACAACGACACAGGAAACGCAGTTCTCAAAGCAGCAGAAAACTGCGCCGCAAGTATGCTTCGCTCCGTACTGCGAATGCCCTGCGATCTATCTGCATTCTGGTTATCGTGGTGTCGGATCGGCTTTGCGACTGTTTCTAGCTTCATGATGCTTCTCGTTGTCCAAGCCCCGTCCAAAGAACATGCGGTTCGCGCTCGGGGACTGGTAGATATGTGGCGGCAGGCGCTTGTTCGGGGTCAATATCAAATGATGGATCTTGCGCTGGTTAGGTTGAATGGGCCGCATTGGATGGGCCTGACTAGGAACTTTTTCCTGTCAAATCATGTGCGGGAGGCAATTGAGTGTACTGGAGACCAATGAATATTTTGGACTTGGTAACGTTCCAAGGTTGGAAGTTTACTGGAACTAGAACCCATCCCACGGAGTGATGTCGGCTATTCTGTTGTCCTCACGTGCCGATAATCTGTTTTATATAAGGGTAATTTTAATGGACAGCCTACAGTGGTACCCTACCACTGTAGGCACGTTCGACTAAATCCCATAAAGCTGACGAAAAGTGTGCTGGCAAGGCACTCTCATTCTCTCGTTCGAGGGAATCAGACGGTGGTGGCAGTTGATGCATATTATCCTTCCGTTCGTCTTTTATTGCCTCCCAGGTGCGTAGTATAAAGTTTCCTATAAATTTCCAGTTTACTTTGCCATTCTCAATGGCTGATCTCATAGCTTCCTGCTTTTCGTGGGTATTCACGCAGGGAATCAGGGGAGGTTCCAGGTCTGTTGAGTAGATCATCTCGAGTGAGGCCCAGATACTTTCCGTAACTTCCTCGAGCATCTCACGCTGCTCATTAGACGCTTGCTTCTTGGAATGTCTTCGGGGGTGGGGCTCTTCGCCCTCAAGGTCTTCTAGGTCTTCCCAGACAATGGTTTTTAGGATTTGATTCACAGCCAGAGCATTTTCCGCCTCAGACTCAAGGTCATATACTTCTTCGATCTGTGCTGTGTTCTTGAAGGGATGGGGTTGGGGTGGTAGTTTTGACATGGCGTACAGGGTGAGAAGGGTGTCGATATGTGAGTCGATGGAAGAAGAAACCCCTGGAGGGTATCTCTTAATGACTATGGAACAAACCCTGGAGATCTATGGATAATCCATACCTAGGTATAATCATGATTTAGTAATCGAAATCTTATTTGAAAAGTTTATTTGACAGGCCAGGGGAGGGGGTGTAGAGTCTCTAGGGAGCAGAAAAGGAGGAAGATGAAGAAGATGGAAAAGTCTTCACTATGATGGAGTGTCCCTTCTTCACAGCCTAAGAGGCTTCCAGCTATATAACTATGATGACCTCGGATATTCCTGTATTCCATTGGTTGGGAACAGCCTGGGCTGAAATGCCTACACGCGATTCAACATGGTGCGGCTGTCAGAATCAATGGTGCTGGTCGCGGTTGTGTAGAAGCTCAATATTCATGACATGTCAGAAATACATAACGGTGATGTCAAGTTAGGGTGAATGCACTGAAATTCTCAACATTTATAGGTGACATCAAACTGCATACATATCCATGGATATATATATGAGAGGTGTCATGCGGTCGAAGTGAAGATATATAACAATACCACATGAGCCAAAAAAGAAAAAAAAAGGGGGAAAAAGGAAGTAACCAACTAGTTTATCTGATCATGTACATACCTCGCAAATATATATCTTCTTATTTATTTATTAGTCTCTATTTTGATACGTCTAGAATAATTTTATGAATAACTGTAGGGCAAATTCCAAATGCTTTATCTTTCAAGAAAAACATCTCGTTTTCAACAAATCAGCCCGGCTAGCTCAATTGGCAGAGCGTGTGACTTTTAGGGGTGTTCATCACCTGAAATCACAAGGTTCGGGGTTCGACCCCCCGGTCGGGCAACAATTATCCATTCGGGTAATCAGTTGCCCTTTCTTTTTTGCTTTTGACATTTTTTTTTAAAATGTTCATCCATCTATTCATATTATTATATATTATTTATTCCATACAAAAATATCCATGTCCTGAATGTTACCTTGAAGTAAAGGAGCAAATACTCTGATAAATACTCGTGTATATACTTGTGTAGAGAAGGAAGGAGCAGCTAAGAGAAAGGAAGATCAATGGGAAGGAGCAGAGGTCCTATCCGTCTTAGGCAACAAGGCTCAGCTGAGGCAGAGACCGTGAAAGGGAGTACAAGAGCATTTGGATATGGATTGGTTAATTTAGGCTTGAAATAAATCCAAGCAACCCCCCCCACAGTACTTAAATGCAAAGTAAAATCCTACTTGAACAAATCAAAAGAAAACACCGATGATAGAACCCCGATAAAAGACTCAGGCATATCTATGCAGATGTGATAAAAATCCAGGGTATTCAGTATTCACAATAACACCAAGTCATTATGCATCGCAAAAGAGAAAGAGATCAAAAAAAAGGCATGTAGAAGACATCGATAGAAGTGAAAAAAAGGAACCAGGATGGAGACGCTAGAAAGCAAAAGACAGGTCAGATCAAATCAGAGCCGAGAAGCCAAATACTAAAAGCTGAAGATGCAGCTTCGGCAATGGGGACTCCAATTGCCATGAAAAGGCCCAGTGATATAACTCAAACAACCCTGCCGCCATCGCGAATCCACTCTCTCAACCGTCCAAGATCAAGGATACACTCCCGATGCAGCTCACAGGCAACATCCCAGTGCTTCCGCACCTGGATATCCTCCTCAATGCCACGGAGATAAGCGCTAAAGCCACCCTTACTAGTACCAGGGATGAGGAATTCGTCAACGTGATAATCATCAAGATCCTTCTTGGCCGAGCCATTGATGCTGTCATCGTCTGCACCGTTGATTTTAAGACGGGTAGAGTCTCCAACCGCACTAATCCAGCCCGGCGCGAGACCGGTTTCATTCGCTTCTTGGCGCGCATTGAAATGCGTGAGCATCCGGCCATTGAACGCGTTCCATTCATGCATGTATGTGCCCATTGCTGAGACATACCAATTCCATTTGTCCCGGGGCAGGACGAGATGCTTGGAGGTTGGGGCCAGGAGAACTGGTTTCGGGGCCCAGGGTCGTTTGGGTGGGTTTGGGAGTTGGAGTACACGGGGGCGGATGTCGTTTCTGGTTGCCCTTTGCTGCTTGGCTTTTGATTCGAAGGGGAGAGTGGTGTGGAAGTCTTCTAGGTTCTCAATACCTCCGCCAGTTGTATTGGTAAATGGTACGGTGTTGCGAAGATTATCGAGGTTGAATAAAGGAGTACGCGGGTCTGCGCTCGGAGGCTTGGGCTTCTTGACCGGGGGTGCATCTGGTACAGCCTGAGACGCCAAATCGGGATAGCTGCCACTACTTGATCTTCCACCTGGGACCTGTGTCGGAATACCTGGAGGAGTAGGAAGGTCGTCGTCCAGATCCATCTCCTCAACATCTGGTGCTGCCGTCTCGGCTGGCCCAGGGGCCTGGCCATTGAGAGTCTCTTTAGCTTCATCCGCCTCAGTAGCAACGCTTGCGGGCTGCGGAGCGCTCCGCAATTTGATGCCTGCCCTGGGCTGTTTCTTGGGACTACGCGGCGCGGCGTTTGCTGCTTGTTTGGCCTTCTCAATCTCTGGTACAGTCCACGAGAGATTTCGAAGCTGCTCCGACCATGAATCTGCAGAAAACTTTGCTTGTGCAAAGGGCGTTGGTGGTTGTTGTGATGACTGCGAAGTTTGATACAGAGGAGTAGGGCCGAAAGGATTTGGAATCGGCGATCCGGTCGAGGATGCCTTGGTCGGTCCATTTCGGACGTTTGTACGCCCCCGATTCTGAGAGGCAGGTGATCTCGGAAGTGACTCCTTGCTTAGCGATGCAGAGCTCATGAAATCGAACTGACCCAAATGGTCCCGCCAATCATCTGCAGAAAACTTCTTGTGCAAGTCACTTGTGCTGCTGCGTCCATACGCGGCAGGCTGGGGCCTTTGCGCATTGTTTGCCGGGTCGGTGCTAATACCGGAGTCTGTCAGATAAGGTGAAATAACTCGATGGTAGGAATATCGAACATACTTGACAGAAGAGGAAGAACCCGATGGGTTGGTCTGCTGGTCCGATCGGTACGAGCTTTTTGGGAAAGCAGCGCTATCTGAGGTATGTCCTTTAGGGCCGTCCTTGTCAGCAGGGGTAGGTGGATTAAGGGGGGGATCCTGAGAAATCGAGTGGAGTACGTAGCTACCATCGGGTAGCTCGACGGCTCGAAGCCTATTCGCAAAGAGGAAAGAAGTGAAGTCCATACCATTTCCGGGGCTTGCTGTTCCTGAGTTGTAGAAGTCCGCAAACTTTTGATGCGGCCCGAGTCGACTCTTTGGCACAGCCTTCGGTTTGGGCCTAGTCTCTTCCCCTTCACTCGAGCTTGTAGAGTCATAGTTATTGGTATTTCGCCTGGGCGAGGGGCTAGCGCTACGATATTTCCCAGATCGGCCAGAGGCAGGGCTGGATTTACCCGTATGCGCGTTCTGATGAGAAGAACCTGAGGGGGTACGCATGGTTGCGGAACGTCCTAGTCCTGTACTTGAAAAGAAAGTCTTCTCACCCTTGCCTGCCTGTGCGTAGCTTCTACTGGGTCGTTCGAACTCCGGGGTGTATGAATGGCGAGATTTAGGTTGAGGCGGCTCGGGTGATGCTGGTTTCTTCGCAGTTGGGGGCACAGCAGGCTTGAAATATTGGCTGCTCGCCCGTTCAGCCCGGTTATTGCTATAGGCAGAGGTGTTACGGGCCATCGGCTCATCTCCTCCGGCTGCACCTGGCGCAAAGCCCTGTTTCTTTTTGGAAGACTGTGCGTTGGAATGGGAGTTGTGGGCCTCGAAGGCAGACTTAGGCCGGGTAGACTGCGCAGAAGTCCCAAAGGGATGCCGTTGTGCTCCAGGACCCGGGACACCACCAGTGGCACGGCCAGTTGCAGGATCGAAGCCCTGCCACCCAGGTACCTGACCTCCTCTCATGTTATTAAAGCCATGGAATGCATCAGCCCTGGTTTGCGCATTGTCCTGTTTGAATTGTTGCGGGCCGGCACGCGCATGAGATGCGTATCGTCTAGCGCCAGCGGATGGAGTGTTCGGGGTCGTCTTTGTGTACTGTGAATTTGCGGACGTAGAGGTTGGCGCCGGGCGAGGAGGATAGGTGGGGGGTTGTGTTTTGCGCTGGGTATTTGCCTTGGGGGGTCCGTAGCACTTGCCATAGCCTGCGCGTAAACGATCGGTGTCGTATTTCAGTCGTTGTGAGGGGTCACTGAGGATCTCATTGGCGGCCTGGATGGCCTGAAATTTGGCGTTGAACTCAACTTCTCGTCCTGGATTTCTGTCCGGGTGGTACTTGAGCGCTTTCCCTCTCAGTTAGCAATGACCCCCATTGTCACTTTATGACACAGCTTCTGCAAAGCTAACCTAATTTCCTGAATTGCTTTTTGATGTCTTCGGCCTCCGCGCTGGGCTGGAGCCCGAGGTCCGCATAGTAATCCTTGCGCACGTCGGATTTCACCATGTTGTTCGTGGGTTTCCGGCGAACTTATGCACTTGTAACAAGTTCGAATCGCATAATCGGTGTTCAAGTAAATAATCGGCGGTCCCGCGCATGTCCAGTCATAGAACGTCGGCCCAAGAGTAAGGTAAAAAGCACGTTGTATGAAGGTAGGGCCTTTTGAATAGGACCAGGCAAGCAGAACAAAAGTAAATGCTATGTCCTGCAATGCTAGAAAACCCAAAACCTTACTCGTCAAAAGTTGCAAAAAGTTGTAAGACTGGGTTCAGTTCAGAGGGGGAAAAAAAGAAAGGGCAGAGCCTCCTTGTATGCTCCGCGGTCTCGGTTGGCCGCAGGGCCCACTCCAAAAGCGCTCAGAGCTTTGGGAGAAACAGTTCGGAATTTGGTCTTGGGGTTTGCGATTGGTGGTGTTTTTGAGTGAGAACGGGAGAGCGAAGAGCGAAGCGGGGGGATGAGGGCAGGCAGAAGTGACTTGAATAGAAAATCGGAGATCGGAGTGGGCACCTGATGTCGAGATCAGGCAGTTGGGTCCAAGCGCAGATCGGAGTGAAGCAGCCAACAGGGCTACAGAGTTCTCTTTTGTGCGGTGAGTGCCACGATCAATGAGTGGAGAGCATGGGATTGTGTTGGGTTGAGAAAAAAAAATTAAGGGCGGGAGAGTGTTTGTTTTGATGCGGTTGCTGCCCGAGGCAATCAACATATCAATGCAAGGTAACTACAAACATGCACTGGTTTATCGTCGTTTGTTATTTACTCTACAAGGAAAGGTCAAGGAAGGGGTTTTTTTTTTCGGGTTTCTCCCTTTTTTTTTTCAATAGCTATCCTAAATTTTTTTGGTTTTTTTTTTTCCATAGTAAAGAATATCGATCTCCCGCATCATTTTAATCATCACAAAGACATTTCCATCCCCAACTTCCTTTTCGCATTCTTCGCATCGAAACTCGTCACTTCAATGATGTGTTCTTCATCTTTCAATCACCGGCCGTCATCTACCTCGGGATTAGTCGATTCAACTCCGGTCGAAGAAGTTTGCTCAGGCTCAATGGAGGCAAAGGAGTGACGCGAAGAAACTGGCTCCTCGGTAACGAGTGCATTGACATTGGCTTTGCGGGCAGAACGGCGCTTGTCGTGGGATTCGTTTGCTTTTTTTTATCTCATGACTTTGAGTAGGCAGGTCCGGGAACGATGCCGTCGGGGGTTCTGGCATGGTATGTACAAGTCGGTTTGCTTTGACAAAGTCCATCAATGCCCTGAGGAATGGAGACTTGGCAAAAGGGTCCTCATGCATAATTTTACGGTTGTAGAGGACGTACAGGGCATATCGACCACGACTCAATGCAACGTTCAGTCTTTGGAAGTGGTGCATGAAACCCAGACTCCTAGTACGAAGACCGACCAGCTGGACAAGCAGACATCGTCATTACGGAACGGACACTGCAATTGATTTGTGAAGAATTCCGGTAAAGCAGCGGGTGAGATTTTGTCCCTGCTTTCGCCCAGCGAACAGTGTCTATCACCTCGGGACCAACACATTGATATGAGAGATGAAGTTACGTGCTTGCTGATGGGTTTTCGTGTCGGACCAATGGATGGGATCGCAACCATTTTGCGAATGGCTTGATGTATTATTAACGAATATAATTTTAATGATTGCTCTATTGCAGTGGTGATAACTCCCCCTTTTCTAACGAGGTGCTCACTAGATAGGTGATGGCACAATACATGTTTTGGACTCCTAGGTAACGCTCCATACATATTGGGTTTAGTTTACAAGAAAGTCTTCCTCATTGACTATCTCTAGTTCGAGTGTCGGCCGCAGCTTAATACCACGGATTAATTTGCTGTAAATTTGTAATACCACCCACCCTATGCCATATATCTCATAGAAGGTGCGTAGATATACTCCGCGGCCCCAATTAACCGGCTAATGGTGTTAGACGACGACCTAACTGGCACGCAAACCTGCCATGACATCTTCGTTCTTACAGTCTGGGGCATCCCAACACTATCGGCTGAATTCCAATCCACAAAGCCAGGCTCCTTCATCCTCGCCAACTCGTGTGCGCTCCACCAAAAGAAGCACTGATCTACGAGGTCTGCACAAACGTCGCCAAAATAACAAACCCAAAAGTGGACATCGTAATCTGCGGTGATAGCACCTTACGCGGCCTCTTCCCCCTCGAACCGGACGTCACGCGGTCAGCCTTAAGCTCTACATATGCACTTGCTCTTGCCTTGTTCTTCTACCGGGTGGGAGACTTACCATCGGCGATGTGCACTATGTCACCGAAGGCCATAGCCTCGCCCCGGTGGGCACGACACAGTTCCCCAAGGACGCAAATTTCGGATACAGAAGTTCCAATCTGAGGGATTACGTCCTCGAAAAGCCCGGTCCTATAAGACTTTGATAGGACCCCTATCGGACTATAAATACTATAAATATAGAGATGACCCATATAAGTTATAAAGAAGTACCCTATATTAATTAGTATTTTGCTTATTTTGCTTCGCTTCGCTCAGCAACTAACGAATATTTAACCTTCAATATACTATGCCAAAATTCCGCAATCTCAGATCTGAGATCTGGCTTATTAGTCGAGAGATTTATGCGTAACGTGACCTCGGGACCTCACTAGGGTAGGGTTAGTCATACATGGTACTCGACATATATGTATACAGATATGCAAAGACCTGCGAGCAAAGGAAATAATTTACTAGATAGGACGATGGAACAAAAACAATGGGATAGATAGCATCTAAAGGGGAAAAAATTAATCACACGCCAAATCATACAACCCGTGCCAATGGGGATGAAAGAAAAGTAAAAGAAGATATCGAACAAAAAGAGATATAACCACCGAAAGAAACAACACTAGACATCCTAGGCATCCCCTCCAGGTGCGCCAGCCCCAGAACCACCAAAGAAATAGCCCTCCAAAAGATCGTAATTCGGATTCTCACTCCAGTCATGTTGGAAGTCCATAGCCATGCCAAAGCCAAGATCGATTCCAACATTCTGGCTCAAGTTGGGACCCAAAGATGGCGCAGCCATCATATTATAATCGGGATTGGCTTCGCCTTCCATATTACCCTGGCCTTCAGCATCGCCTGAACCAAAATCCAAGAAATCAAGACTCATCCCTTGGGCAGCCTCGGTGTCGGCAGGCGGTAAACCATGATTGTGAGCATTGCTACCGGGAGAGCCGCTTCGTTGCGGCGAGTTCGAGTAGTAGAACTGCGGGTGCGGCTGTGGGGAGTTTGGATTCTCGTACTTGAGATAGTAATCCATCGATGGATTGCGTGGTCCGTAAGACCGGGAAGATTGCTCTGCTGAGAAGTTCGGGGGTATCGATTCTGGTTGAGGATAGGATGGCCCTCCTGGCCTGTTTTCGGCTCGAGGGTGGTCAGCCAAGGGGGTATTATCGGTAAAGAGATCAGCTAAATTCATATCGAACTTGGGGACGGGACGAGACTGGCGTGTCTGCGTCGCTCGCCGGGGTTGCCCTTGGCCTGCACGGTGTCGTTGGTCCATGGGCTGTCGCGGCCGGCCGGGGTGGAGTGAGCTGCCGGTGCCTGATGTGGAGTGGACACGGCTTATGTCTACCTGTGATCCGAACCCGGTCGTTGAAAGACACATCTGGACGGTTGCTTTGCTCATGCGCTCGAACGCGTCCCGACATGCTTCGGCCGGTGGACATTTATGCATCAGGTCGCCCAGAACCGAAGTTGCGGCGAGAACGGTGAAGTCGACTTCATCGAGGGTCTAAGAAAAGGGAACGTTAGAATAAGCACAGCCCTAAATTCCAGGGCAGGTGGTACCTACTAAACGACTTCGAACCAAAGGCGAATGCCAAATGGCATATAAGAAGGAGATTCCTGATAGAGTGTCAGTAACGAAGCGGCGAAGAAAGCGCAAAGAAACAACTGCATACCAGCCATGAAAATGTGATGTGTAGCAAGATAAGTATAATTCACCAAGCGTACTCTATGCAATTGGCGATAGATACGAATGACCTTCTGACCAGCCTCAGCAACATTAAGATAGACATGATCCTCCTCGTCACCGTCATCGGGATTGGAAAAGGACGGGCTAGAAACGTCATCCGCAGGAGTAAGCTCTCCCGCCAACTCAGCAGGAACCGTCAAGCTCTGCTGGTACAGCAAAATGATACCTTGCCAGTAATTCAGCTCAAGAAGCTCAATGGAAAATCTCACGCCGGTTTCCGGCCGTGTCGGGGCAGTCTCTTGCCACTCAACCAATCGACGATGCACATCATAGCGCCACGAGCGGAACGAGTCAAAGCCCTGAAGGAAAGGGGAGGAAAGCTCAGCGTGGGGAAGAATAACTGCACCAGGACCCCTCCTCCGGACAGCGCGCGTCTGTTGGTATTGGAGGACGTCGTGGATCTCGGATTGAAGAAGGCGAAGTTTGAAATAGTGGAATGCGACACGCTTATATGTCGGGGCCCCGTCTGGTGGAGTCAAAAGACCAGACTTGGTGATATATTGGTCGTCCATCATAGACGGGAACTCTGTACTGATGGCCTGGTCACTGATACCAAATGGCCGTCCAACACATGTGGCTACAAGACGATCAAAGCTGTATACGCACCACCACAACCGGCGACGGAGATCGCGCACCCATTCGCGTCGTCCACGTTCACGAGCATTGATCCGTGACTGGGCTTGGTTGCCATCTTTTGCTGCAGAATCAATGCCCGCTCCATCCTCGTAATGGAGCCCAAGGTCGACGGCTAAGCGCGTGGCCACACCGACGATATACCAGAGACCCGGTGCAACTGGTCGCAATAAGGCAAAGCTGGCTAGAAGGAGCACTGCCTGCAGCTCTTCCAATCCACCAAAGCCTTCACTGGAGGAGGAGCCAAGGAATGACTCCAAATGAACGATTGCTGAGGCATGGTACTCCTCTGGCTGGTACTGATGGCTCGAGAGTCTCGGTCTCTTCGTCCCAGACGAGGACCGGTCATGACTACTGCGATTTT